GTAACCTTATAAAGAAAAAAAATAAGTACATTTACTAAGTATAAAAAATCTTCGTCTTTCGTGCTACTAAAACAAAATATGAGCGTAGGCCTACTCGTACCTACAGTAGTCTACATGTACATAACATGTCAGATTTGACACACACACCTCGACTAATGTTCGATTTTTTTCAAGGAAAATAGTTAGCATTCGTGTTTTTCAAGCACTAAATGAAAAGAAAACACATACCTTTCAGTCAATTCACATTTTCATCCAGATGTTATGGCACCACATTCAAGTAAATTGCGTTTGAGTTGGTTCACTGTCAGCGACGCGTGCACACGCTCCATGTTAAACTCTGGTGTTAAGCCGTGAGCGAGATTCTGCGAGATTTAAGAAGGACTGCTTTCACCCCCACGCCATCTAGCGGCAGACCCTTAAAGCGGGTATTCCCCATTGTACCTCAGATAATGGACGACTTCTAAAGGCCCTACATTTTAACTTGTTGTACTCTCTGTAAGCAACATCATTCTTCATTTTTTCTCGGTACCGCCTACACTTCTCCTTATTCTTCTCCTTCCTCTCATTTTCTTTGTCATTCAGTTTAAGCAGAATACGTAGCCCTGAAAAACAGCCCGATACACTGCACTTTTTTGTTGACACCATGGTCTAGATACATAATAATGTGAAGAATATTTTTATGTTTTGATAGCTTTTACACAGATTTCTCTGCGGGAAAATATCCACAGAGTTCTGAGGAACTCTACACTTGCAAACAATGTTTACTTGTCCCACAACTACTACCATATTGCCTCCCAGAATGCAAGAAAAGAAAACAAAAAGTACAGAAGTTTGGTTGTTACGTCGGACATACACAATGAGTATGTCTTTCGTTTTTTTTGTAACAACCAACCCAGAAATGCCGCCGATATCGGCTCCCTGTGCGTGGAATTTCAAATAAATCGACCGCAGAAAAAGCGATCGCTTAGTTAATCATTTCACCCAAAACCGATCTGTCAAAAGATATTAAAATACATAAAATTCTCTTTTAAAAGGTCGGTTGTTATTTTGGACAAACTCCGATTGCGGTTGGGTCGTTACTCGGACATACCACGCGAGTATGTCCTCAATCCGAAAGTTAGTAGCAAAATTATTTTCTGCTCAGTTCATAGACGAAGAAGGACCGCATGGTTCAATTTCCAGCGGAATACGTTTGTTTAATTACCATAATAACCCTGCATTAGCCCCGTACTCCGTAGTTTGTTAAATTAGGAGTTCGGTTGTTATGCTGAGTTCAGTTGTTACATTTCAAGACTAGTTGACAACCACGGACATATACACAAACTTACCTTCCCTCCGGCTTCTCGCCATCTTTCAATTTCACTGCAGACGACACTCTCACATCCGGGGCCTCCAGGTTTCTTCAAAAACGTGGATCGGAGTTATCGATAACTGTACGGCCTAAATTTTTGCGAAAGTTCGGTTGTTACTTTCGGACATACCTGCGGCTTGTCCACAAATTTTCTTCCCTAATGGAAAACCTGACGCGAATTTTAAATGACCAATCACACATATATCACCAATACTGGTGGCTGCATTCAGGAATGATAGAAAATTCGGCACTGGTTACAAGCTGAGTGAGATAAGGTAGCAAACTTTGAACAGTGGCATCGGACATACGTGCATAACAACCGAACCAGCTGCACATTTTGTTCATTTTCGACTAAGGTAAAAAAGTTTCATAAAAAATAAAGCCATCAATTCATTGTTTACCTTTTCTTGTAACGAATGTTTGCTACTATTTAATGTAAAAGACACAGTATTGTAGGTTGCATTGATGAAGTAAGTGCGTGCTCACTCAGCTTCTTCACTGGAGGAGATCGGGCACTGATTTTCGCTATTCAAAAGCCAATTGTGGCTCAGCGGGTCGCTCAATCTCAAGCAATTTAACTGAGTTATTTCTTTAAAATATATTTTACACCACAGACAACACAGGAATCCAAAGTCAGTTGTTTGTATCATTTTATTTTGTCACATTGGGACACAGGATGCTTGGAACGACGTTTTGTCACAGGCTCATATATATATTAAGAGCAATAGAGAGATTTAAAAATGTGGATCTTTTAATAAAGAAATTACACACAGTTGACAGGCCATTATTTACATGAGGGCCCTGAGTAGCTTATACATGTAAAGATATATACATAAAGCTCAACAATACCTTTCAGCGTCTTCTCTCCCCTGTATACACGGATTTTATCATCGAGGTCCTGGTCAAGTCGGAATACCAACAAGTAGATGATCTGCTCTGAGAGGAATGTTTGGTGCGTGGTGTAGTAGACATCCTGTCCTGCAAAATCCCAAATTGTGACCTGTTTCTCTGGCTCCACATCTTCCCCTCGGGCAATTTTCTCAATTTTTTCCAATAGCTCCTTGTCAATATCATCTAGATGGTCCTTTTCGGCCACTGCGATGAATACAATAAGCTATGTCCAAACTAAATGATTTTAGCATAATGCATATTGTTATGTATTGCAATGCGTGCATATTTATCCAAATCATCGTATTAATCCCGCAGTATATTGTATAAAAATTGTATAAAAATAAATAAATTAGATTGAAAATGCATGTAATAAGTATAATTGGTATCAAGCGCCCAATTGAGTTTTCAGCTGATGTGCCTTCTTCAGGGGGGGGGTTGTGAGAGACTAGACCTTAATCTTTATAGACATGCTTTCAATCTAATTTATTTCATTTGTCAGGGACTGTTCATACATCGACATATCGTCAACATTCTTATACTACTCATGTTTTCTTCCCCAGAGGTATGAGATCCACTTTCACCTTTGAAAAGGACTGTACAATAAACAGTGCGGTTAAAATAAAACTTTTTAGCATAAAAAAGTATCGTAATCATTGACAAAATTTGAATGTATTTAGTGTCAATTAACTTTGTGAAACAGTTATCAAATA